GTTACATTCAGAATGACAATCTGTAGAAGTATTAATAAAAAAAAAAGATTGACATTTCTTATTTCTACCTTCTCTACATACTGGTTATAGTAATCTTGGTGGACTTCCATTGTTTCAACTTTTTTTTATCTTTTTTTTTTTTATTCCCAATAATTGTTGATGACAACTTCAACTTGTATAACTTAAGTGTTAGTTTATAAAAAAGGCATCTCCTTATCTTGCAACTGAAAGTTGCTGATGACTTGCACCATCTATCGTATTAAATATCAACTATTGATAAGGCACAATTTGGATTATTCTATATACAGTTACGAGCGTCATTCTTCATCTCCTAATAATCAGTTTTCGTCTCTGTCACCGTTTGCTTTTTTTTTTTTGGAATGGCACCCTCCTATTGGTTGGCTACGATCACGCCACCTTTGCCTCCCCCCCCCCCCCCATCATGCCTCCCCCCCCCCCCCCCCCCCCACTCGCTTTTACGTTTTTGTAACTATTGTGTTGGAGCGGGTCGCTCCTTAAATAAATGCATATATTAGATAATAACCAAATGGAATCCTCTCTTTCTTTTTCCCAGTAAGAGACGCCTACGGAAGCCAACAGTACATAGACAGATAAAGCACATAGGCTATAGTTATTAACTAACATATGCATTTATTTAAGGCGCCAGTTTATAATTGTAACAAATAGTATTTGAATCAAAACATTTAATCGGGTAAAACACGGGCGTTGCCCTGGTCATTCGGCTAGTAGATTATAGACACAAGGTAATAAGACCAAATCCAAATAAATAAATAGTGTGTGACGTTTCAGTAACAGTGTTGTTACCATCTTCAGACAAAAGTACTGAATGAGAAATTTTACCACAGCATGTTTTTAAATAGATAATGTTATCAAGTGTGTAAACAAGATAACAGATAAGAAGAATATATTTATCTGAGAAACACAGAATATTATGCTGTGGTAAAATTTCTCATTCAGTACTTTTGTCTGAAGATGGTAACAATGCTGTTACCGAAACGTCACACACTATTTATTTATTTGGATTTGGTCTTATTACCTTGTGTCTTTAATATCAGCTAACCACGGACGTGTCTAGGGCTGTTGGCTCTCATCAGCGTGGTGCAAGCTGTACCTCAACGACCAAAAAACTGGTCATTCAGGCATCCTGAATAATGATACATTAGCGCGTCATCTGTTATGATAATTGGAAACTATTATAGACACGTATGATTCTTTTTAAAATTAAACTATTTCTACTGTCCTTACTGCAATGAAAAATTAATGGGAGGGCCTGTCTCATCAGTAGTGAACCCTCCTAGCAGTTTCGCCAGTTTAAGTGTTATATAAATAAATACAAACACAAGGTAATAAGACCAAATCCAAATAAATAAATTGTGTGTGACGTTTCGGTAACAACACTGTCACAAAACGTCACACACTATTTATTTATTTGGACTTGGTCTTATTACCTTGTGTTTGTAATCTATAATCCAAATTGTGCCTTATCATATATATATACAGTTAAACCTGTCTATAGCGCCCCCTCTAAATAGCGCCTTCCTCTCTATAGCACCCGATTTTAAACATTAAAATGTAAACATTTTACATTAAAAGTGACCAGTCTATAGCACCCCCTCTCTATAGCACCCTATTTTGGTGAGTCCCATGAGGGGGCGCTATAGACTGTACTATAATTTTTATTTCCATAAATTTCTAATGGACTAATGGTTTATTCTCTAATTACAGTACCAACTTCTTTAATTGTCATTGTCCTAAGGGATCAGAATTTTCGGTTGAATTAAAGTGGGTGTTGAATTATAGTCGGTTAAATTAGTAAATAGACTGATTGGGATTAAGAAAAATGGTTGAATTAAAGAGGTTCTACTGATAAAGCACAATTTGGATTATAGATTATAGACACAAGGTAATAAGACCAAATCCAAATAAATAAATAGTGTGTGACGTTTCAGTAACATCGTTGTTACCATCTTCAGACAAAAGTATTTAATGAGAAATTATACCACAGCATGGTTTGATAACAGTAACTATTTAAACACATAAGGTGGTAAAATTTCTCATTCAGTACTTTTGTCTGAAGATGGTAACAACGCTGTTATCGAAACGTCACACAATATTTATTTATTTGGATTTGGTCTTATTAACTTGAGAGGTTTTACTCTTTATTATGATGCACACACAAGACACACTGGTCTTACAGAGGATTCTCCTTGGGGTTACAAGACAGAGAAACCTATGAAAGTGGGAAATATACAAAGGGGTAAAAATGGAGAAAGATTATATACACATGATAAATATATACAGATTATTATTTGAATGATCCTATGGAAAATAAGAATATGGACTTTATTATAATGCTATAGCCCACAAAATGATGAGAGAAGAAGATTTACTTTAACTGAATTTTAAATCAACTGAAATAAAACTTTGCTTCCATTGGCTTGTTAAAGAAGTTTGGCTCTAACATAAGGAAATAAGAGAGAATAAAAAGATTGTTAACTACAGTTGAAATGTTTCCTTCCTTTCTTTCTTTATAGAAACCTGAGAGAGGTGTAATGTGATGAAATTGGTGTTTGTTTCCTTGGTACATCATCTCGTTGGAATGTCTACCCGTAGATACTGGTTGTAGAGGAGAGATTGTTTGGGTGCACAGAGATTATTCGTCTTATCTTCTTATTATCTATTACATAGAGACATAATGGATGTTTTTGGAAACTGGTGTAGTCTTTGGGACTTGCTCCACCTCTTTCATGGGTTGGCCTGGTATTGCAGTACTTCCACATTGCCTCATTCTATACTTTAATATTTTTTTAATCTCCTTAGTCAATGTCTTAATAATTATAACCTTAGAAGGAGAAATTTTATGTTTTCTAAACCAAGTCTTAGGAACTTGCTCCACCTTTTTCATGGGTTGGCCTGGTATTGCACTACTTCCACTTTGGCTTATTTTATACTTCTCTTTAATCTCTTTGTAATCTCTTTATTCACAATGCCTTACTCTTTCATTATCAGATTTATTAGAACAATTAGAACATTAGATGAGAAGTTTGAGGTTTTCTAAACAGAGTCTTTGGAACTTGCTCCACCTCTTTCATGGGTTGGCCTGGTATTGCACTACTTCCACTTTGGCTTCTTTTTTACTTCTCCTTAATAAATTCGTAATCCCCTTATATAGTCAATGTCTTACTCTTCTGTCAATAAGTAGAACCTTAGACAGAGAAATTTGAAGTTTTCTAAATGGTAGGCTAAACCTTTTTGGTCTCTACTTACCTTTATTAAAATACAAAACACTTACAAAAATAAATAAGATGCATTAGCACAGTAAGAAAGCAGAAGAAAATTATTTTATTTAAAAAGAATTATATGCACCCCATAAATAGTTCAAATTTCTGACACTTTCTAAATGACAATGCCTCTCAACAAAAGACAGTTTTCATCACCAAAATAACTATTTTCAACTAATTAGCAGCTTTCCGATAAGAGAACACTTCTTTCTAAAGGACACCTTGGCATTGCAACTAGGTGTTGTCCATTACAAAGAGGTTCTATTGTATAAGTTAAAAGTGTCTTATATATACAGTTAAACCTGTCTATAGCACCCCCTCTAAATAGCGCCTCCCTCTCTATAGCGCCTGATTTTAAATACGTAGTACAATGCGATTTACATTAAAAATGACCTGTCTATATCACCCCCTCTCTATAACACTCTATTTTGGTGAGTCCCAAGAGGGGGCGCTATAGACAGGTCTAACTGTATTCAGAAATATTTATTTACTAAAAAAAAAGAAATAAAGTATTTAACCTCTCATATAGTCAACAAACTTCTAGTACAGTAGAACAACCTCCATGAGAGGACACTCTCGCTAGAGGACACCTCTCTATAAAGGACAGTTTTTATTTGCAAAATTAATGTTATTATTATTTTTTGCTTATCCCTAGTACATGTGGTACAGGCCATGATAATCATGGTGGGTAGTTAGCGACTGCTTTTTACTGTAAGCTCACCACACATGTGAAAAGCAGTTCGACTTTGTACTTACAAATGTGCCAGAGCCCTGTTTGGTTACTTGCACTCGCTGGTGGGGTTGGACTTTTGCAAGAATCGGGGGCCATTGAAGCATTTTTTTTTTTTTTTTAAGAAAAAAGTGTCCAATGCAGGAATCGAACCCAGGTCGTAGTAGTCGAAAACCAAACTGTTTAACCAGCCTTCCACCGACCCCCGAGCAAAATTATAATTTTTACTATTTAACAAATCTCTGGTCAGAGGACACCTCTCTATAAAGGACAGTTTTTATTTGCAAAATTATCATTTTTTTACTATACAACAACTCTCTGGTAAGAGAACACCTCTCCCTAAAGGACACTTTGGCTCTGAAATTAGGTGTTGTCCTTTACAGATTGGTAGTTCTACTGTAGTAAACAGAGCTGTCCGGAACAATGTCTGCCGCCGTTACCCCACAGCTCTTCCAGCCATGCCCCATCAAGGAAAAAAAAAAGCCAGTTGGCTAAAAATGATTTTGTGACCAGTGACCCGTGTCCTCTTACAAGACTTCTTCCTCTCTCCTTGTTTTCTTCGTCTGCTAGCTGTGGCATTCTGGTTCCCATTTTACACGTGGTACAAGCCATGATAATCATGGTGGGTAGAAATTGGCGACTGCTTTTAACTGTAAATGCACCACATGTCTACACATGTGAAAAGCAGTTTGAATTTTGTACTTACAAGTTTTCCAGAGCTTTGTTTGGTTACTTGCACTCCCTAGTGGGGTTGGACTTTTGCAAGAATCAAGGGTATTAGTCATGACATCCTCTTATATAGGTATTGCTTTTATAGAACGACATCTGACAAGTTTTACTGCAAATGTTTCTTTTTACAGAACGAAATATCATAAATTATTTTAAGAAGAAATAACGATTATTCCTATAATTAGGGATGACGTATTGAAAGGATGAATTGTGAAGAGTAATGACAAACGGAAAAATAGTGTCCAGGGATGGGAATCGAACCCACAGTGTTCCGCTTACCAGGCAGATGCCATGTCCACTAGGCTACCGCGGTAAAACTTGTTAAATGTTGTTCTATAATCATAACCGCATTATATTCTATTATAGGTATTAATTTGCATATATTACATACGCATATGGAAACCTTTTACAAGAGGTAATAAGAGAATTTTTTTTTCTCCAAATAAATATAAGCTCTAATGTATTTTTGTACTTATTCCAAGTACATGTGATACAGGCCATGATAATCATGATAGGTAGAAGTTGACGACTGCTTTTACTGTAAGTGCACCACATGTATACTTACAAATGTGCCGAAGCCCTGTTTGGTTACTTGCACTCGCTTGTGAGGTTGGACTTTTGCAAGAATCAAGAGTATCGGTCTTGACATCCTGTTATATATGTATTGATTTGCATATATTACACATGTATACAGAAATCTTTTTTTTTTTTTCCGAAGGTAAAAAGAGCATTCTAAATTAGTGTAATCTCAAATGTATTTTTTTTAATCTATTCCAAGTACACATGGTATAGGCCATGATAATTATGATGAGTACAGTAAAATCCAGCTAAAATGAACCTGAGATATAGTGAACCTTCCCTTCGTTATAATCCCCATTTTAATCTTATAATACAGTAAACAATGGCTATAATGAACCATGGCAATAGTGAACTGAAGGTTCAGTCTCATTGGGAGGTCACTATAGAGGGATTAGAGATGTAAAAAACTGGATTTAAGACCAATTAGGATTTTTTTAAAGACCAGAAATTTCTGGTACCCCATCATAGTTTTAAATAATAAATCAATTGTATTTTAAATTGATATCAATAAATTACTAATATGTGTAAGCTCACATCTTTAAAATATTTTTAAAAAAATCTTTCATGAGAGATAAAATACACATTCACACATTACAGTTAAACCTGTCAATAGCGCCCCCCTCTTGGGACTCACCAAAATAGGGTGCTATAGACAGGTCACTTTTAATGTAAATCGCATCGTACTACGTATTTAAAATCGGGCGCTATAGAGAGGGAGGCGTTATTTAGAGGGGGCACTATAGACAGGTTTAGCTGTACTTGCACTCCCTAGTGGGGTTGGACTTTTGCAAGAATCAAGGGTATTGGTCTTGACTTCCTGTTATATATGTATTGATTTGCATATATATTACACATGCATACGAAAACTTTTTACAATAGATAATAAGAGCTTTTTTCTCTCCAAATAAATGTAGACTAATGTTTTTATTTTTTAACGTATTCCAAGTACATGTGATACAGGCCATGATAATCATGATAGGTAGAAGTTGATGACTTATCAATGTTTTTTTTTTTAATTCACAAATTTATATTAGCTCCAATAAATGAATAAAAAGTAAAAAGTTTTATTTATTATCCACCATATCTACATACCCACAAAAGAAAAAAAATCTTCAGGCATTTTAATATTAAAAAAAAAAAAGTCCATTCTCATTTTCTAAAGGTATTTTGAGGGTTTTAATTTGGGAAATTGTTTTTTTCATTTTTTTTTTTAGAGAAGAAGGATTAGCATTTTTTACCAACGTTTTCCCTCCCCTCCTTATATCCAATATCAATTTAACCCTTAATTACTCGCGTCGAGACACAGGTCTCACCTAAATTTTTAATCGAAAAAATAAATACGATTTTCGAGTCCAAATAATTTGTAAGTTTTTGTAGCTTAAGATAGCATCGAAATAAATATTTTAGACCATTTGTTCTATCGCTTAGCCCCTAGAAGGAAGAAAAATAAAACAAAAAAAGCCACCGCCGAGACAAACGTCTCGACGCGAGTACTTGCGTAATAATTTTGGTTTAGGTTTCATTTTCCGGCTGGCTCTATCTTCGTAAAACAGTAAGTTATTGTTCTTCTTCTAAGTATATTTTTTGTTCCTAAATATCCTAAATTCTCTCTCTCTCTCTGGACCCCCACCGTGGATGTGCCCCGCTCCATCCCCTGGGCCGACCTGCGTCGGAACTGCTTCTCGGGGCACGACGCAGATGTCGCCCTACGGCTGGCCCTCCATGCCCTACCACATCCTGACCATCCTGCCTCGAGGCGTGCCAACTGTGCCGCCTGTGGGTCCAGCGACGGGTCGCTGGCCCACAGATATTGGAGTTGCCGAGCCGTGCGAACCCTGCTCCGGGAAGTGTTCGCTTCCTGCGACTTGCCCCTGGATCTGCAGGCCTGGCTCTTCGGCGTCGGCCTCCATCCCGAGGCAGTGAAGCTAACAAGTGTGGCGAAGGCTACCATCTACAAGTACCATCTTGGTCTTGAGTTGGGTAATGCCAGCCAACACATCGACCTGCCCACCCTGTGGGAAAGAACTCTCGCAGTCCATCGGTGGCGGAGTCTTTCTCGCGGTGGGCGCCACCAATGAAGACCTTGTATATATTTTATATATATGTATATTTATCTATTGCTTTATGTATTTATATCTATTTATTCATGTATTTTTCATTATATAATCTTATTTATTCATTTTATGTATTTAATCTTATATAATCTTATATGGACGTTATAATAAATCAGTTTCAATCTCAATCTCTCTCTCTCTCTGTCTCTCTTAGGTATTTAGAATTTATTTATTTTTATTCAATATTTTAATACTAAATATTTCCAAAAATATATATTACATTATAAAAAATGGCTAGTACTTCTGTGAGGAATCAGAGTGAATCCGACATGAATTGCGATGTAATAATTTGTGATTTATCCGATACTTCTGATACCGAAATTTATAGTTATCATGACACAGACTCTGAACAGAATTCAGAGGCGGATGAAGAATTACCAAATGATGATTCTGAATTTTATTTTGGAAAGGATGGTGTCACAAAATGGAAAAAGGCAGAAAACCCAGATTCGTACAAGAAGTGTAAATATAATTTCTCAATTGCCAGGGCCTAAATCTGAAGCAAAATCGATAGAATCTGAATCGGATGCATTTACAAAAATAATTGATAATGAAGATTTCTCTAGAGAAAGAGATGCCAAATTAACTACTGTAACAGAAATCCTAGATTTATTTGGACTTTTGATAATGTCAGGTGTCAAAAAAGCTGCTCATTTTACTTATAAAGAGCTATGGGCGGTGGATGGCTCAGGAGTAGAAATTGTGAGAGCAATTATGTCACAAGAACGTTTTTTATTTCTTCTACGTTGCTTGAGATTTGATGATATTACAACAAGGAAAGAACGAAAAAAGCTGGACAAACTTGCTCCAATTAGAGAATTTGTAGAAACCTTTGTATATAACTAAAAAGCTCTATACTCCAGGTGAATATAATACAATTGATGAGAAGCTCATTCCATTTCGTGGCAGGTGTGGCTTTAGACAGTATATGCCCAACAAACCTGCAAAATATGGGCTCAAAATTTATATCAGTAGTGATGCAAGAACATTTTATACCTTTAATTTTGAAATATATTGTGGAAAACAACCCGATGGTCCATATAAAAAAAGTAATTCACCCGATGATATCGTAAAAAGATTGATCACTCCAATATCTGGGACAAGCCGAAACATAACAACAGACAATTGGTACACTAGTTATAAATTATCCCAAGATCTTCTTACAGAACATAAACTCACTTTAGTTGGCACTTTGAAAAAAAAAAGGAAATCCCTAAAATATTTCTGCCCAATAGGAATAGACCAAAATATAATAGTATATTTGGCTTCACTCAGAATACCACCCTTGTATCTTATGTCCCAAAAAAGAGCAAGGCTGTTCTATTGCTCTCAATAATGCACTCAACTCCCACAATTGACGAAGAAAGTGGATTCAAATTAAAACCTGAAATTGTAACATTTTATAATTTGACTAAAGGCGGGGTTGAGATGGTGAACCAAATTTGTGGAACTTATTCTGTTGGCAGTCGAACCAACAGATAGCCTCTATGCCTATTTTTCGACCTACTAAATGTTGCAGGCATAAATTCAGAAATAATTTTCAAGTCTTTAAATATAAATTCACCTCGAGTTCCAAGAAGAATCTTTTTGAAAAATATTTCCCTACAATTATTCCAGGATCATTTAAAAATTCGATCCCAATTGAAAAACTTGCCAAGAAGTCTCCATGACCGGATAATATTGCATTGCAAGAAAGCTGAAAGTCCAGAGATAAGTTATATATATTTCATAAAATTATTTAAAATGATAAACATAACAATCTTTTGTTTACCACAGATCGAAATGAGTGGAGAGTCAGAACCTAAGAAGCGAAAACGGTGCTATGTTTGCCCAAGTACCAAAGGTAGTATGACACATAATTATTTGCTACAAATGCAGGAGACACATCTGTCAACGTCATTCTTCGAATATTTGCAAAGATTGCGAATAATATCCGTCTGCAACTTTTAATAGTAGCCTATTTGTATAACTATGTCAAACATTCATTGTTTTTACTATAGTCATTGTTTCAATAAAAATAAATAAATATAAAAATATTTTTTGCCTTAATTCACATGTGTCATAAACTACACACAATTACGAATATAGTGCAGCCTAATTTTCAATCCAAATATTAATATTTAACATATATTTCGGTTTTTTAAAAGTGAGACCTGGATCTCAACGCGAGTACTTACGTAACAAATATAGGCGCGAGTAATTAAGGGTTAATAATGTATAGTGTGAGAGGATGTCAAATCCTATTGGTCGTCATTAGTTTTGGTTTTGTTTTGTTTGTTTACCTAGCTAACTTTGATAAATTTCGTTTTTTCCCCCTCTCCTTTTTTTTTTTACAAAAATCTATTCTCCTTTCTCTTTTTTTTTTTTTCACCTCTCAGCTTCATTTTTAATCTCTTTCATTGATCTCAAAGGTTTTTTTTTAGTCATCTCTTAAGAAAATTAAACCAAAACAAAAACCAATACTTTGCATCAATCCATTTAGCTTTTACCGATTTTTAAAATAATAATATATTTTTTTATTCCTTTCTCGGTTGTTTAAAATTTAGTTTTTCTTTAAATATATACACCCATACCTCGCTTTGCGTCGGGGTTACGTTCCAAAAAAAACACGACGTAA